GGGAATTTTTTTTTTAACAATTAATATTTGTGAAAAAGATAGTGGCTCTTATTGACAAAACAACAACAATAAGGAACAAAACAAGAATTTCCGTTGTCAAAGGGCGTGAAGAAAGTTTCCTTATTGATGACCTTTTGAAGATTGTTATCATATATTACTATTGTTCTCTTTTCATTAATGGTTTTTTAATTGGTCATCTGTTCATCATGTGATTATCTTCCTAAAAGCTCTGTTTTCATCTTATGTACCTAGGGAGGAGAACTTAGCTCAATTTCTCTTTATCCAATAACTCAGGCAAAATTACCTGACTTATGTCTGTTCTTATGTGTTAATTTCTTTACACTTCTCCCTTCATTTTGTTTTTCACGTTCCACTGAATTATATATTCCTTGAAATTGATTTCCTAACTGGACTCATTCCTATCCATCGTAATTTTTCTCCTCTCTCAAATCCATTTCTCTTTCATGTGGCAAATGACAACTGTTTTGTATGCACTGGAAAAAGCATCCTTCCGATAGATTTTAGAATGAATTTTATTAGTGTTAGGATATGCAGCCCCTGACTGTGTGACAACAATGTAATAGATTTTGATTAATTTTTACTCTTTTATTTTTATATAGCATAATGCTCCAATTCCTCAAGGAGGGCGTGGTGCAATCCAGTTTGTGACTCAGTATCAGCATTCAAGTGGGCAGAGACGTATCCGAGTGACTACCATTGCTAGGAAGTAAGTTGTATCTGTTAGAGATTTAATTACATATCAAAACTGTTCTGGGTTGTGCTCCCAAACTAGCTTCCTATTTTGAGTGACATCCGTGACTAAAGAATGAATATTTATGACTGATAGTGTTTTATTTCTTTCTAATCCAGATTATTTGCTAAAATATTCATTGTCAAGAACTATAAAACAATTTATAAAAATTACTCCTAAGACACATTCTTCAAAATATTCTTCTATTTACCTTGTTCCCCTGAGAGGAGGAAAAACTGTAAACATTATCTTGTAATAGACAATAATAATATACATGCATATAAACATTATATATCCATATATAACAACATAGAACAGTAAGTAATAGCATTACTTTTCAATTGATTATAAAGTTCTTAGCTACTTTTATTACGTATTTTTCAAGTGTTATTGGTTATTTAGTTAACTTATTATACCTTTATTCAGCATCTGCTTTGTGGACTAGGTACTTTTGAGGGAGGGTATGGAATGCAAAAGACTTGAACATCCTTGGTCTGCTATATGATGATGTGGAATAGACCAGTCCCCAAACTATCTGTGGTGAAGGGCCAGGTAATTTTTCCCCCCAATCCTTTGGAGACTAATACTTTTATTAATATACTCAAAATAAATTACTTCAAAAATGGAATTTTAAAAAATCATTCAAAATACAAATTCCTATTTTTATTTTTGTTAGATTCATCAGTCATAAAATTATTTTATTAAATTGCTCAAAAGTCTCTAAACATTTATTCTCAGTTTCTGTTTTCACCTGATGGCTAACTGGCTAGCTTTGCACTAGCAAAGTCAAAAGCTGCTCATAGGTTTTAGGTTTGAAATATTCTTAAAATGAAGAGTTTTTTAAAAAGTTAAGTTAATCTTTCAAGAAGAGGGGAGCTTTTGTTGTGAGAAGTTTTTCATGTTGTGAGAAAATTTTCAGTTTGTTTGCCCAGAATGTATGAGCTATTTGTAGAGAGATACTGGGTGTGTTGTGGTGCCACTTGTATCACTATGTCTCACCAAAGCACCCATCCTTTCAAATTAACTCACCCTGACCATTTTCAGTAGTCAAGGCTTATTCTTTATTAGGAATACGATTTTAGGGGCCCTGGCAAGTGCATAAGTGACTAAGCTATGTGAAAATAAAAGACTCAAGTTTCTGAGATAGAATCCATTACCCTGTGTTTCATAGAGAAAATAACTTTGATCTGGAAGGTTTGGCTTGAAACTCATAATTGCTACCTAAATTTTTTGGGGATCACTTACATCATTGAGTCATGTAAAAGTGGTCCAGCTCTTCACCACATCTGTAAGTATTGCCAGAATTGCTTAAAGTGAGGTAGTTTAGAACTAGGATCAGATGAAGTATTGCAAAACCCTGTGAAGTGTGAAACAAACAAACAAAAACTGTTGCTGCATCTACCCAGGGTTAGTTTGACTGGATTAGATTAATAGAATATGTGAATTTAATAAATTACTGCTATTTTATACATAATATCAAATTAATCCCTTAAACTAAAATTTTTGATTGGTTTTAGTCAGCATGTTAACATGGAGAGAAAAGAATACATAGTGATTTTAATTATATAATTTTATCACTAATAATTGAATTAAAGACCAACGAGAAAAAATTCTGATAGTTTATATATTTTCCAGTTTAGCAAATAAGAATTACTTAGTCTGGAAGAAAACTTTATTTTTGTATTTCCGTATTTCTGATTTTATGAAATTGAAGAAATGAAGTTTTTAAAGTCTGATATGCAAGCTTGTATACTGTGTGCATATGCACACACACATACCTATGCTATTATTTTTACTTGTAAAAATCTTAATGTTTTAAGGAAAGTTTGGAAATCTTCCTTTATAGTTAGTTACTTTGCAGGATTTTATTAGGTTTGGATATATTTTTCTGAAAAACAATGAGTATCATACTTACTATTAGTGATTTTTTTTTAAGCTTATTTTTCTAGGTAATATTGGAATTTTGAAATGTTGAAGTAATTTTCTATATCTTTTAATTTTCTATATCTTTATCTTTTAAATGAAATCTGTGTGATAGCCAGGGGAGGAACAAATGCCAACATAGTTCCTCCAAGATGGACTTTTAGGAAATTTCCATTTAGGAAGATTAAAACATTATGTATATTTTAACCTTTTTGTGTTTAGGACAGCAGAAGAGTTCTGTTGAATTTCGCTGTTACTTAGCAATTTGACATGACCTTGTGAGTATAATTTCGTGCTTTCTTGTCTTTAGCTGGGCAGATGCTCAAACGCAAATCCAAAACATCGCTGCGTCTTTTGACCAGGAGGCAGCTGCCATTCTTATGGCTCGGCTGGCAATATACAGAGCAGAAACAGAAGAGGGTCCTGATGTGCTTAGATGGCTGGACAGACAGCTCATTCGACTGGTAAGACGTAAACATGATACTTTTCTAAATCCGTTTACATTTATTTGTAGAAAATATTTTCTGATAATCTCTTTCAAGGTGCTGGACAGTATAACCGGGACTGTATGAGGGACTCCTAATCAAGTTGCTGAGAAAGACATAGCAATGAATGGTGGAGTTCATTTATCTCTTCCAGGAAACTAAAATGCCTTTTTTCCTTAATAGGAAAGAGTGACAATTGTGTAACCTATTATTATTATTTTTTGGCTGATATCAGATTAATTCCCAATTTATTCCTTAATGACTATAACTTTTTTATTGCCTTTTTTGCATGTTTTTCTCCATTGTTATGGTTTTACTTTTGTATTTTCATTATACTGGAATATTTTAAGAACAACTAATTGGGATATAAAAATTATACATGTTAACATACACAAATACATATAAGTCTTTATTATCTGGATCTAGATTACCAAAATGTGTGTTAGTAAAGTTATTGATAATGATGATTTACTTGGATTTTTAACTTCAGGAACCCATTACTTACATTGTGACCTAGAATGCTTAGTTAAATTCTGTTCTTAATACTTTATTTTTACTCAGCAAACTCTGGCCTATAATTTCCTTGAAAGTACTCCTTCAAGTCACCCTTCAGCTCAAACACCCCGTTTTGAACTCTCTGCTAAGCTATTGGATTTCTGTTTGTAGCAGGTGGTTTTTGTGCTCTTTGTCTAGATTTTCATGTAGTTTTTAAAACGTTCTTGAGTTAACTAGTCTTTATTTTTAATAAAGTTAGCCATTTTTGTAGTATCATTCAGAGCTTTTTTTCTTTTCATTTCTGAGTATATTTTTACACTAGTATCTCTTAGTAAGGAGAATAGTATTATGACAACATCAACCTGTCTTTTTTAACAAGAGGCATAAAATCTCTCCTAGAGTCAACCATTGATTGGACACCATCAGTACAAATGCCAACATAGTTCCTCCAACATGGACTTTTCCATTTAGGAAGATCGAAACACTGTGTATATTTTAAGATTTGTGTGTTTAGGGCAGCAGGAAAGTTCTCTTGAATTTCACTATTATTTAGCAATTTGGCATGACTTCGGTGAAATTTGTTGACTCATCAACTGAATAGAGAAGCTGTTATTTTTCAGCTAATTACACAAACCTCTTCAGCATCATGAAACATATCATGAATGCATTCACTTGTTATCTTGTTTTAAAATGGAACCTTTCCGATTTCTCAGACTTCATCTTGTTCCCAGCATTTTACTTACTGTAATTTTACATGTTAGCATTATTAGGTTCTCACCAACTGTAGGACTTTTCCTTTTTCAGACAATAAATTTTGCTCTGAAATATCTTGCTTCCTGAGCCTTTTCATTGATTATGACTTTGTTTTAATAAACACTTTATTGTTTTGAGAGTCTAAGGGCTGTTTGAAGTAATCAGCACCTTCATTTGTCAAAAGGCTATGATTTGTGGTAAAGCGCTTTTTCCATTTTGCTGGAGCTGTTAGTACATTTGTAGGTTGTAATACACAGCTCAAAAATGAATAGTATAACTTGGTTTCTCAGCCCACATAAAACCCACTGACAAGTAGCTTTTTCTGTGTACCATTGCATGGGTGTAGTGAAATGACTCATACTCTTGTAATTCTTCAGAATTCTCTGGAGGCTTATGTCTAGAATCTTTCTCTTCTATCTCACACCTCCGCTTCAAAAATTGCCATATTGTTTGACATGCTTGTAAAACACTAACACTAATATAAAATAGACTGGCCTTGTAAATAACTAAATGAGACAGTTGCAAAAAATCTCACAATTCTAAGCTACATATTTCTGCAGTGTGCACCATTTACAACAGCAGAAGTTGAGGGTAGAGGACAGGTAAGTCATAATGAAAATTTTACTCTGATCTTCTGTCACACCAGTATAGCTTGTCTGTTCCCGTAAGTCAGTTGTCAGCTGTGTGTGAGAGGAGATTGGTGGAGGTAATTTGGGAAGGAAAGGCTGCCATTATCAGACTATTGCCCTGCTTTCTGTACAAAACAGCTTTCACTAGTTACCCATAACCCCCCTTGTCTTGTGTCAAATGCTGAGAGTGGAGTTATCCAAATGAACAGTCCTACTGCCACATGGGACTAAAAGGTCTAAAACGAAATTGCTAGCAGAATAACTTGAAAATAGTGCATCACTGTGGCTGGCATCATGTGGTGTGCAAAGTTGAAAAAACTGTTTTTAAAAATCACAGTTTCTTATGGAAACTCTAGTGATTAATATATGATAAAAGTGGTGAGAATGTGATCTTTACATTCTTTAATTAATTGAATCAAATTAGTTTACAATTGAAGTGAAGTTTCAGGTAATGACAAATGAACCTTAGATACAGAACCTACTCTAAGTAGCTAATAAAATGTAGCCTTATTTTTTTTCAAATTTTAATTTTAATGTTTTACTGATTTTTGTACTGCCGAAATTTCAGCTGTAGCAATGATAGCAACACAGAGAAAGGGTTAATACCGTTTAGGTACTACACTTTTCTGAGTTTTTTCCTAATGAAAAACCTGTGAGATTATACTAACAAACTTCTTTGCCTCAACTTGGTTAGTGAGTATAGTTGTTTAGTTTTTTTCTTGATGACTAAGAATAACTTTAATTAAAAATAAACTTTTTCAAAACTATTTTGTAGATAATGGCCATTGTATGGCCACATTGATGCTGGTACCACCTTTGCTTCATTGACACCTTCGTTCCCCTTGGTCAGAATCACAGTACTGATACCAATACATGATATGCTGCTTCCGTTCTCATTCTCTTGTTTGGGTCCATCTTGTGTCTGGCTTCATGGATTCGTTCCTTAACTTTTTGCCTCCTGACCTTTTCTATTGAGTAATATCCTTTTATAACTTAAAATTGATATTTAATTTTTTTTTCATCTTTGACCTTTGGTTTGCCCACTAATATATTCTTCCTTTAGCTGTGCTGCTGGCTACAACAGATAAACAGTTCCTCTCTCAGGAAATCATTTCCCAAGAAATCATTTCCCAAGAAATTTCATTCCCAGGAAATCTCTCTTGTTTAAGATTCTTGGGGATTTCCTTGCAAATTTTATCACAGCTAGGTTTTTTTTTGCTATCCTGGTGGGACCAAGCACTTTAGTTGTGCTATTTTTAGAGATGACCACTTTGGCCATTGCCGTTTTCTTATAGAGGATAAGCTTTGACCCTTAGGGCCCTTTTATGTGGCTGGATTTATGCATAATTAATTACTGAATTAAAGACACGACTAGGCTTCTTGCAGGTGTTATTTTCCTTGAGAAAATTGTATTCCTGATGCTTTATCTGCTTAATCTTCTTACTTCTAAATAACTCAGTGGATCTTTGCTATACCTCATTTATGTGTCAGTCTTTTTTCTTATTTGTGTTAGTGTTTTGGTTAGGTTATAAATAAGGACTACGCCTCATGATTCCAGTAGTTAATTCAATGGCACTTGATGAGTGTTCAAAAATATTTTAAGAAGTAACCCAAAGATTAGAAACTTATGTGTATGTGTTATACAAAATTTTTATAGTTATTTGTGATATAGATTGTATTTATTAAAAAACAGATTAATATGTATTTAACCTCTGGGTGCAGAGGATTTAAAACATGAGACAAAAACCAGGAGCCATTAAAGAAAAATATTAAAAGATTTTATTACACTAAAATGAGACAAAAAATCTGTGGTAAAAATATTATTCACAGAATATAATGCCAACATTTGTTATATGTATGACAGAATGTGAAAATTTTCATATATAAGAGTGCTTACAAATCAGTAATATTTGGGTAAAAGATGAACAAAGGTCAGGAACAAGGAATTAGAAAAATAAGGAAGGCAAATGACTAATAAAGGTATGAAAAATTTATCAATCTTATTTATAATCAAAGTTGGAAAATAGAACAAGGCAACGATTTTTATTTGTCAAACTGGTAAGAATTAGAAAAACAGGGTAATGCTTAGAAGTGGTTAGTATTCAGGGACTTGGACAGCTCCATAGCTTTTAGGTTTGGTGTGTGAATCTGTACAGTCTTCATAAACATCTGTATAACTATATATAGAAGGCATTTGGTGACATATATGAAAAGCTAAAAACTGCCTTTTACTCAGAAATTCTACTGCTAAGAATGTATCCTAAAGACATAACAGGAAAAATATAAATGCTAATAATGAGAGATTGGTTAAGAGAGTTGTTGTATATATATATATATACACACACATATAATGGAATTCTAGATAACCATCAAAACTGAAGTAATAGATTATATTTAGTGACATAAAAAATGTTCATTATAAGAGCAAATATTTTGGACATAAGTATTCAATGTGTCCCACTCTGGAAATCAGTTTTCTAGATACCCCTGATTACCCAAGCAGAAAATTCAACAATCTTTTTGTTACCCTCATTAACCATAACATCATATTTGCCTAATGCTTTATTTTAACAGAACTCTAGGCACAATTTAAATTGTGTATATGTAATACAATGTGATCAATTGTTCTGAATACTGTGTGGCATACTGGCTTTTTCACAAAATCTTTTCAATGTATTTGATATTCTAGATCTCAAGTGTATTTTATGTTCTAGGTCAGCACTGTCCAGGAGTGGACAGTACATTTTCTATTATTGGCACTGTCCGTTGTGGAACTACTACCTACATGTGGCTCTTAAGCACTTGAACTTTGGCTAGTGCAACTGAGGAACTGGATTTTAATTTAATTTTAATTAATTTAAATTTCCGCATATAGCTAGTGGCTTTCATATTGGACAGTGAAGATTATATTATCCTAACCTACAGGTTTTGTCAGTGGAGTGTGATTAGGGAGCAGTGAAGACAGAAACACTCTTATTCCCAGCTACCAAAATCTATTTTCTGAGGATTAGCTCTACAGCTATAGCTTTTCTATCCTTTGAATAACTGGTTCTGAAATGATTTCTTCTGGAAGCCAAAAATGTGATTAAACCAATTATGCCTTTTTCTGTGCTCCTTAAGGCACAGATAACTACATAAATTATATAGTTGAACATTCAAGGCTGTAAAAGTCCTGTACTACTTGCAGCAGTGAACCTTTTGTTAATTTTTGCTTGTTATTTTTGCCCTTGATCATATATAAGTACTGGTAAACCTTGCTAGGAAATAGACTAGTTGCATAAGACTATAAAAACTTTTCAGGTCATAGACTTTGCTGAAGAACAAAGAGAGGAAGCTGACATTTCTTGAGTGCTTCGTGTCAGTCACTGTGCTAAGCGCTTTCTCATGTGGATTATCTCAGTTACGTGGATGCCTTTTGTCATATTATCATGGAGGCCTTATTTTTTTGTTGCTAGTGTATGTGTCTCCTTTATTTCCTTGCAATTCTGCCCGTGTGTTTCTTCTTTGTTTACCAGTTTACCTGTTGGTCTTGGATTTTCTTTTCCTCAACAGTTCTTTCTTTTTGGTATTGTTTCTAGTGTACCCAGTTTTGTACCATCAACTTGCTTTTGTAGCCGCTGTGGTATTTTGATAGTGTATCTATCAATCAATGGACTGTTGTCTTTTTTAGGTAGAGTGTTAGGGGGCGATGTTGAGCTCTTTTGGCCATCATCTAAGAGCTCTTTGTTTGCTATCAGAGATGCTTAGTTTAAAAAAATCCAAACATTTTAAGATGAGTTGTTCTGCATTAGAGAAATGTATTGTTTGCTTCTGAAATTCAAATTTTTTTCTTTGATTTTAATCATTTTCTTGGTAAGTCTATAAGTAGTATTCCAATTTTATCCTGTATCGAGTATCTACCTGCTAAAGAGTAATAACTTTTTAAAAACGGGGTATGCATAGGCAACAATTTATCTCTGTGCCAGGGAATATATTACTAACATGTTTTATTTTATATAGTGTCAGAAATTTGGCGAGTATCACAAAGATGATCCAAGTTCCTTCAGATTTTCTGAAACTTTCTCCCTTTATCCACAGGTGAGTAGATTAAAGGTTCTTAATGTTGACAGTGGCACTGGGTCTCACTTTTCCTTATGTCTTTTATTATTAGGGTTATTCTTTTGGTTAGGTTTTAGGTTTTGAGATAGCTAAGAAATTATGCTTGAATAGTTGGTGAAAATATATAGTATTTTTGTGATGGCTTTGTATATAGCATTGATTTGTGGTAAATAGAAATTTAGACTGGAAGCCTACTGTGGAGTAGAATTAGATGTGAAGCAGATTAGCTTTTCATCTCATATAAGGGATCTGATTGCAGTAGTACTGAAAAGAACTAATTTTACCAATTAGCTAGTCCTATAGCATGGCATCATTGCCTGAGAACAACTTCATGGAGACATACCAGATACATAGAAAAGAAGCTAACTTGATTTATCTTACAGAACCTTTTCCACTTGGCTAGTGGAGTCTATCTGTTGTTTTGATAGATATTTTTAAAAGTCTAGGTTGTTTATATGATGAGTGATATAGATAACATTTATTCAACTGAGTATACTATGTGCAAGGAACTTTAGGAGAATAAAGATGATTGACTACCATCCTACTTTCAAGGGGCTTTCAGATGAGGTCTGAAATACACTACACAACACAGAATGGAAAGTGAGAAATGCTGTGAGAGATAAACAATGTTGAAAGGAAACTGAAAAGAAGCCTTCCAAATGAATGGTTCGATATATATTTATAGGAGAGGTGGTACTTTATTTATTATTTATTTATTTAAATTTACATATATGTACTGTTTATTGTTTCTAAGAACAGTTTAGAACTTTAGCTTTTTAAACTGACATAGTTATCAAAGGAATAAAGCCAACCACAAAATACGAATCAACAGAAAGCAGAAATCCAATCATAAAGGACAGTCAAATGTGTTTACACATATTCAAGGAATCAGTCATCTTAAGTTATAAATAATAAGTAGTTCATTTGTATCCTTTTTTTTTTTAGGTTCCACATATAAGTGATATCATATGATATCTTTCTTTCTCTTTCTGGCTTTCACTTAGAATGATGATCTCTAGGTCCATCCATGTTGCTGCAAATGGCATTACTTTGTTCTTTTTTATGGCTGAGTAGTATTCCACAGTGTATATAGACCACATCTTCTTTGTCTAGTCATCTATTGATGGACAAGAGGTGGTGTTTTATTTTAGCTCATCTAGAAGGATGATTAATAGTGAGATATGGAAATTCAAATTTTTGCTCATAAAAACTTTGCTTAAAGCTTTAACTTTCTTTTCAGAGCTACTCCTATTTTTTGAAAATCTTTTATTGGTCTGTAACCTAGAAACTCCAGGTTATAGAGGGAGACTTCCCTAAATCTCTTGGTGAGGTTTTGGAGAACTAGGAAAACGCAGAGTCTGCTTGTCTTAACAAAGGCAACTCTGTGTTTTGGGAATTCTCAGGCCTCACATTCACAGCGGAAACTAACAGGAAAGGCAATTGAGGGCAGTAGTCTAAGTATTTGATTAAATCAGTCACACTTTCCTTCCTCTTTCTTCTCTCCCTACTTCAAGCCTTCTCTTTGGGCTTTTGGATCTTCCAAGAGATCTGGACATCCCATCTTTCCCTCTAATTGGAAGTAGAGAGCCAGAGGACCCAGAAGTACTTTTTTTTGGGAGGGGGCTAGTTTCAAAGCCTTAAAGATTTTCTAAAAGGTGATATTAGACTACATTTAAGGGAGATCTTCATTTATAAAATATTTACCCCCAAATTTACCAGTTACACATTCTTGTGAGTAAATAAGAATGACTGAATTGGTAAAGGATGAGGGAGCCTCTCAATATAAGTATAGATCACCGAAAAAAGAACAAGAATGAGAATTTCAGTGAGTGGCATGTGTTGGGAGAGAGCTGTGGAATGAGTCCCAGGCAGGGCAGCTTGCAGGCACTTGAGATCTGAGGGCTGAAGGAAGTGAAGTACCTGAAAAACAGATGGGAGGACTTTGGAGCTGATCCTATTGATTATATCAGAGACTCTTTCAAAGGACAGTGTAGCTGTCCTTCCTTCAGGCTCATTCACCCCTTTTTTGATCTCTTTCACATGAGCAGTAGTTAGAAGGGGATCAAATGAAAGGAGAAAGAAATTATGAAATAAAATCTAGAGAATATTTCTTACAGACAAGGAGGACCTTAAAAAGTAAGAAACAAATTTAAAAAAATTAAGAAACAAGTGCATGTATGTAAGTCCTTTTCTTTTTTTTCTTTAAACCAGTGCAGACCCTTTCCAGTGCAGTTTTGGGGAGCTATACAAAAAGTAGAAAAACTGTTAATCTATGTTTATGTTCTTTTGGAGTCTTTTGGTGGTGGTAGTGAATAGAAATTTAAAAAAAGCTCAGAGATGTGGCCAGAAGGATGAAGAATGAAAAAAAGGATGCCGCTAATGCATCTCTTGTCATCAGCCTCTACGACCTTACATCTGAGCAAAGGGTTTTTGTCCCTATTCTTGTTTTCCTCTTGAGTCACTTCTTCTACTTTAATTTTTTATTGTTATTGAGTTATATTTTTAAGTAACTGATAAATATGAATAAGATTCTTTCTGAGGAATACGGTTTAGAATGTTCTTATTGTAATGTGTTGTTTCATCGTGTTAATAGTTGTAAGCAAATGCTTTTGTAGGAATATTAAAATCAGTAAAAGCAATCTCACATGTTTTCTCTTGTAGTTTATGTTTCATTTGAGAAGATCTCCTTTCCTGCAAGTTTTTAACAATAGTCCTGATGAGAGTTCATATTATCGTCACCATTTTATGCGTCAAGATTTGACCCAGTCTCTGATCATGATTCAGCCTATCCTGTATGCGTATTCTTTTAGTGGACCACCAGAGGTAAGAGGGGCGGGAAGAAATTGGTTTTGTTACTGTGATATGTGCTATTAAAAAAAAAATGAAACAACTAGGTTTTTCTTGAAATACAGTCATTAAATGTAAGAATTTAATTCAAGCATAGTTAAGTTATTTATTTATTCACTTAAAAATATTGATGAATACTGTCTATGTGCTAGATACCATGCTACGCTGTCTTAGGAAACCCTTAGAAAAATAATATGACAATGAGATGGAAGAGGTTTTTTAAAGATCATTTTGTCTAGTCATTTGGTTGATCAAATCCTATAGAGCTCCTGATTATTCTTGTCTTTAACAACGTGCAGAGGTGGTGATTCTAGAACCTGTATTTCAGAGTTTAGTGTATGACAGTTCGGACATTTCTGCCTAAGCCTCTTGTTTTAATACAGTCTCACTCTCCTGTAGGCTTTTTAACACAAAACACAGTTGATTATAAAGACATACTTAGAAAAGTGATATAGTTATCCATTTTGGCTTCTTAGCAAACTGTCCCACTTATTTTAACCTGTTACCAAATAAACAGTTTTTCCATTTTATGGTTATAATTATCTGTTTCACTACTTAAAAGCATGTAATGACAATATTTGAAAACAATGCTTTAGGAAGGGTCATATAAAGAGACTATATTATCTACTGATCAGTGATTTCTAATGATGCCCGTTTTGTAAAAAAATAGTGGGTAAAATGTATTTTGTTACTAAAATTCTTCAAAGTAATTTGTTGTAGTTTCTACTTTTCTAGAAAATTCATTTTTAATGTGTTGGTCTAGCTGTATTATTGGTCTTACAGTTCTTTGAATCAGGAAAAAAAATTTTACAAATAACTTTTTTTCTTATCTTATATTAATATATGCAAGTTGTATGCATCTGGCAAGTGTAGAAAAGTGTTTAGAAGACAACTGGAATCCCAATGCCTGCTCCTATCAAATTCTAAACTCTCCATTTAATCCATGAATCCCATTAGCTTCGTTTCTTAAGATTTTGCTTTTGGAGTTGTCCTCTTTCTCTTCTGCGTAATCACTTTCTCTTGTCTGGATCATTCTCACTAACATAGAAACCTTAATAGCATTCATGTTAAACCAAAACCCCCTTGATTTCACATTTTCTCTACTTGCCACTCCATTTCTCTGGTCCCGGTCATGGCTGAACTCAGAAAGTTATTTGTTCCCACATCACATTGTCTTCTCAATCTGTGTTAGTCAGATTCTTGTCCCTAAAATTATACTGAAACAACTCTTATCAAGGCCACCAAAGCCCTCATCTTGCCAGAACTCTCAGCAGCATTTGCCTAGTGAGGACTCGCCTCAAAAACCTGTTTGCTCTAGTCTCTCTCTGCTGGCTTCTCCCTTTCAGACCTGTAGGTATGGGCATGCTCTGGGGCTTTATCTCTGGCTTCTTCTCCAGCTTTCCTCTCTCTAAGTGGTGCAGTTTGCTGACATAGCTTTACCATCTTCATGCATGTGATACCCAAATTTATGTCAGTTCAGGTCATGTCCTTCTGTTTCATATTCGGAACTATCTTTCCATCGCCAAATTTGCTCTTTCACAAGTCTTTCCCCTCTATTCAGAGGTGCCGCCGTCAGATTTAGGAGTCATCCCTGATTTCCTTCTGCCTGGACTCTATTTTCAATTATTACTTCACTTTAGAGATTCCTTACAAAGTTAAATTAAAATGTACTTTGAGAATTCATAATAGTAGGAGGTTTTAAATAATAATATAATAAATTAGGAAAATTTAAAATATCCTAGAAAGATCAAAATTATGTCTTTAAGTGATTTATTTTTCCTTCTTCCTTTTTCGCTGTTTTCTTCGCATCAGCCGGTTCTTCTCGATAGCAGCAGCATACTTGCAGATCGTATTCTCCTCATGGACACATTCTTCCAGATTCTGATTTATCATGGTGAGGTAAGATTCCACAGCATTTAAAGACTGGGACATTGTGCTGTACACCAGAGACTGACAGATTGTAATTGACTGTACTTCAGTTTAAAAAGAAAAAGGTTATTTTCAGGTTGTCTAGATTTTGCTATAATAAATATTCTTAAACTTGAAAAAAAAAAAAAGATTCCATAGCATTTAAAGCCATGCACATAGGTTCAGTAAAGTCTTTTTATTCATGGAAGCTTTCCCCCATTTACTGTATAACTAGTGTTTCCTCTATGATAAATTCTATTTCCACTTTTATAAGATAGGTATAAAATGTGATTATTCTTCTACAGGATTTTAGACTTAATTTGCAATTGACCCATCTGTGGTTATTTTGTCCACACTTAATTGGACAGATGGATTTTATACAAAGCATAATGTTGTCAGAGTAAGACCATTAGCATCTCATACTTCTGGGTTTTACCTGAAGACATTAAGAGGGGAAAAGTCAGCCTTTGGGGTGGGCAGACTTTCTTTTTTTCAATAAATTATGTCAACTTTAATAATAGGCTGTTATTTTACCAGCAAAAATGAGTTTATTCAGGAATAGCCAGAGGAGTGCAATTTAGGATATGTGAACTATGACAGACCATCGGCAACTCCAGAGAACAAGGAACGGGAACTTGCCTTAATAGGGAAAAAGGAGGGGGGAGATTGGGAGGGGGGGTGATAACCAAAAAGACTTTCCTTTTCATTATTTCATGTAACCATTTAAAAAGTACTCCACGTAAAGTATTTAAAGTATTTTAAAAATATCCCACTTGATCTTGAAAACTCATTTAAAACACAAGTTAATTAAAATTTATAACTTCACTTAATTGGAATGGTTAATGATTGAAAAGAGTGGAATATTTGAGTAGCAGTTAAGCTTTAATCTAGGTATTTAGCGGAACTCTGTTCATTCCTGCATTTATTTATTCAGCCACTGTTTAAGTGCTTCCTCTGTATAAGAAAGCATGAAAATCTTGGTGCTTTGAATGATACAGATCTCTTTTTCACAAACCTACACTCAACTTATTGTCTAGTATTCTACTAACTTGTGCAGATGTATTTTTTCAATCGTTTTAATTGTAAATGATTTTAGAGTTGCACTGTAATAGTAAAGGCATTACTCAAAATATCCTTTTAAGTAATATTATCCAGGACTTTCAAAGACCTATTGACTATTATTTTTAATTGATAACAGTTACTAATGCCCTTTACCTTTTAAGAATAATACGTATTATATGACAGAGCTAGACTTTTTTTGCTAATTTTTTTTGATAGTTTTTGTTTCTACAAATAGCTTGTTAATATGCTTAAATGAGAAATCAGAAATGTAGATGATTGTTCCTCTATTAAATACAGAGGGCAACATAGAGTATATATTGACTTTTCAGTTAACTTAGAAACCACGCCACGTTTAAATTTTGGGATGATTTAATTACATGGTTTTTTGGAATCATTTATCTTGATAAAAGAATTGATTGAGATGCTCTTTTACAGATATATTATCTTTATATTATTATTGCTATTGTTATTAAAGTTTTTCTGTTTATATATTTTTTCAGAATGTAACTCCATTGGTAAAGACTTCATAATAGTAGGTCATTAATTTTGAAGTCTCTGGGAAATCTTCTGTAGCAAAAATCCCCCTTATCTATCATAAGCTTAGGAATATAGCTTTTAACTAACATTAATATGATCAGCATAGTGTTTTAAAATTTCTCTGGGTTAATTATTACTTCTTTTTACTTTTAAAGAAGAAGAAATACCCTAATTTTGTACCTGTTTACTCAAAAATACTGAATTTAGTATTCTTAAGTTAAAAGATTGAGATAATTAGGATAATGTTCTGTAATTTTCTTATTTTATCAAGATTGCTTCATTTGAAAAAAATCTTCTTTTAAAGTTTTTAGGTAGGCAAGCAAAAAAAGTAGTAATTTCTTTAACTGTTTTAAAATTAGACCATAGCTCAGTGGCGCAAGTCAGGATACCAGGACATGCCAGAATATGAAAATTTCCGCCACCTTCTGCAAGCTCCAGTGGATGACGCACAGGAGATCCTTCACTCCAGATTCCCCATGCCGAGATACATCGACACTGAACATGGGGGCAGCCAGGTCAGCACTGTTCATTTGTTTGTTTGTTGCTGGTTTTGCAGTGAGTTGTTCCTCCTTGCCTTCTGACTTAAATTTGAATAGACTGCTTCACCAGGCAAATGAAAGAGGAAGGAGGTGGACAGGAGAAGGTTTCCAGGGGAAGGTATGCTTGCTCTTTGCCTTATCTTTGAGAGCAGAGCAATACGATTATTGAGGCGTTGCATAAAGCTGACAGTTTCTCCCATCTTCTGCCTCTAGCCCAGGTCTAATGACAGCCAGGATGGTGTGATGTGATTTGCCAGCTTCAGTTGAGCAAGAAGACTTGAATAACTTGGGAAATAATTTAGTGTGCTTTTCTTAAATCTGTTTAGGTACTGATAAAGTCTGTGAATATGAAGTTTGTGGTAACATAGTTTTCTGTTTTACTCATTCTATCATTTCAATTTTCTAGAAAATGTCATGTAATAGGAAAGCATTATGATCTTATAACAAGGTGTGCAGTTTTTAGAACTATAAGGATTAAATAAGATATATGTACATGTGCAGATAGCCCTTTTGGGCCTTTCAGCAGACTTAGGACCCCTTAACATGCACTCTTAGAACAATTTTACTGCTCCCCTGTAATTCTTACTAGTATTTTATAAATTAATTATAAGTTCTTATAAGTCTGTTTCACTTGCTCCTTGAAAGCATAGACCTTGCTTTGCTTATTGATGCAGCCCTAGTGCTTAGAAGAGTGTTACAAAGTAGGTGGTAGATATCAGTAACTGTTATTCAGAAATGATAGCAATTATTATTAGGGTTTTACTGTATTTATAATAGAAGCTACCCTGTACTGAAAATTTGCAAAGCTTATAGTTAGCGCTTTATGAACTTAACAGTCCTATCATTATCTCCATTTTACAGATAATAAAACTGAGACTTAGGTTACCTGTGGCCAAGGAAGCACAATAAATGGAGGAATTGGGATTTGAATCCAGATGTTCTGACTCTAGAGCCAGTGCTCTTGTGTTAAACTACTTACTTTTAGAGGAGAAAAAGAAAGAGAAAGTAGAAATTGTATGATACTAAGTTTCAAAAGATAAGACTGTTCTTCTAACATGAAATTGTAATTTATGACTGGGTCTCTCATTGATGTCTCACCATGCGTACTGCTGTCTTCCTTTTTTACTCTGGTTATTTCATGATGATAGGGCATAGTGGATAGATAGGTACAATGTTGGGTGGGTGCTCTCACAGAATAGTCTACAGTTTAAAAAAGTTTAAGAGCCATTGTTTAAAATAAAAGAACATATAGGTTTTCATGGTTTTTATTTTTATCATTTTTGGGGACTTCAAGCCTCTGGTGACGTTTCAGACCAGGAGTTTGGTAAATTTCACACTAACCTTGTCATAATTGTTGCACGCATATTTTTTATATGCCAAGTTTTGGACTCAACAATTTGTATTTGCTATTATGAATGTTCTTATGAATAATTTGTTGGGAATAATGTACATTTATTATTTCTTTGTAACATACAATGGCCTATGTGTTTCAAAATTTAGTTCATTTTTTTAAACTTGCATTTTAATCAAATTAATTTTATGAAAACATATTAAATAAAATTGACCTTAGTTGGCGTAATGTATTTGTGTAGCCTGTGATGACTAAATCTATTTTTGATGGATAGTCTTATTTCTTCTTTGCTTTTAAGGCTCGTTTCCTGCTTTCAAAAGTCAACCCTTCACAAACTCATAATAATATGTATGCCTGGGGACAGGTAAGTATAAACAGCAGATCTTGGAAATTACTTCTTTATGTATTTATAGTTTATTATTTTAATGAAAGCTGCATTTTTTCCCTATGTATTTGGTTAATGATTTCTGTTGGAAAAGTAATGAAAAAATAAGTAGAAAACAGGATTAGCATTTGGTGGCACCATAGAAAATAAAAAAGTGATCATATCAAATAGATAGAACCCCTTTATATTCCAAGTTTACACTACACCCTTGAGACAAAAAGCAATAAATTGTGTGAGATGGGAAGTGATGATTCAAGCTTAATGCCAGGCCATGAACCACAAAAGACATCAAAAAGCAGGAAGTGGCCAGGGCTTGTGCTGAGCAGGAAAGGCTGGAGGCCTGGATATCATTATTAATATATTTTAATTTGGTAGACATGTCCTACCTTTTGACAAAATATATCAACATTTATCAAATGTCCAATCTGCAGGACCCTATGTTGGTACTTTAGGATCCGCAGTGATCATCCCTGCCTTTGAAGAGCTTGTAGTCTAGTGTTAGAAATAAAATACATACCTAAGTAGTTAAAATATACAAGACAGATTGGGATATGTGCTTTTATAAAGATTTAAAGTATTATAGGGGATATAAGAGGAGGAGAGGAAGTGGTCACATGGTGGCAGCAAAGAGAAGGGTATGTGATCAGACAAGAGCGCAGAAAAAGGGTATTTCCTTTTGGAATGGTTATTATTTCAGTAAGCAGAAATTTCTTGAAGAAGGGAATTCTAGGTAGAAGACAGCATGGACTAAGGTGAAGAGTGCATGTTGGGATAAACAGTAGAACAGTAAATTGGAGATTATTGTGCAACCAGATTGTGGAGGATCTTGAATGCCAGGTTGAGGACGGAGGAGCTTAGTCTTTGGTAAATAATTGAGTTTTATTGAAAAAGATAGAAAAGTAGCACCAATAAACAGAGTTAATGGAAGTGGTGATTAATCAATATGAAGAGGAGGTTAAAGGCTACTTTAAAATAGTACTCATGAGAGGTCACATGTCAAATGCCCGTGAACAACTGAATGAGGCTGGCTAAACAGAAGCAGACCTGACACTCTCAATGTCAAAAAGCAATACCTGGGGCAGGGAGCGACAGCAGACTAGCGTTTGTGGGGAAAGTATACAAATCCTTTTCTAAAGGGGGTACTTGTTCCTCTCCTCCAGATTGTTGCCATTTACATAATTCAGTTAACAAAATTTGGTGAGCTCACATTATGAAGACCAAATAAAATATATCTGTGTGTGGCTGGATTTCTGCATTAAAAAGGCGTGGTTTAATTCATGGAAATAATGACTTGTTCCTTGTTTTGGGGGCTTTAAATTCCTGCATGGAGATGTAGTTGGTGGTAGGCTTATGAAGTAAAGAACTTGTTGAGTTGTTAAACATGGAGAGCATCATTCTAGGCTGGTAGTTGAAAACTCTCCAAGTTACTTATCTTCTCTTTGCCTTCTCTTCCTTGTCTGTTACAGAGTTCAGTGACACATACTTGATATGCCCAGTAATACTCAGTAAATATTATTATTAGTTTTTCTTGTTATCATTGGAGAAAAAAGTCTCTCTCTTAAGATATTTCAAATGAGAAAGAAAACCTGTTTTAAACTTTGAAGTTTATTACTGCCCAGAAGTAGGGGCATTATAGAGGCATAAAGAAGAGAGCCCTAACACTTAAGCCAGACCCTGAATGATGGAGATCATTTCATTGGGTGAATATGATGGAGAAGGAAATTCCAGGCAGAGGAACAAACATGCATATTGTTTCTCTGATTCACTCAATCATTTATCTGTCCATCCATTCATCTGTTCCTTATTCAGTTTTGAAAGCCATCATCTTTGGAGAGACTTAAATGTGCTTACTTATTAAATGAACTATTTTTATCCACTTGATAAAAAGTTGTTAAATATTTGTAGTCATGTTAAATATTTTGTCCTTATACTGTATGGTGGTTTTAATTACATTGTTATCAGGTTTGTCTCTCCTTAGATTTCTTATAAACTTTTTTTCCTCAAAGAGGCAATTGAAAGCAATTTGGATTTCTTCTCATTATTGCATTTTAGAAAATATAATTGAAAAATCGAGGTCAGTCAGTTGCAAATTTTTGATAAGATTTCGTGTTTGATTTAGCAAAATTTAGGAATTAGTTACAATTAAACCTTTGGGGGAAACTGACATTGATCCTATCTTTTATGAATAGATTCTTACAACAACAAACTAAAACATTCTTAAAGAATGTTACTCTTTTTTTCAGCTTGGTTCCAAACTATCTTTCATCTTTATTAGTTTTGTTCATGTGTCTAAAACAATGAAATTTTTGTCTTGACATTTAAATCAATGTTTCTCAATCTTTATATTTTGATAAATTTGAAAGCATCCCTTTTCTGTAATGCTTTTTGAAATGTCAAACTTAAATAAATATGATAAGTGAAAGTAAGAAAAAACCCCGGAGCCTAAGGTCTATCTTGACATAGGATTTTTGTAAGAGAAATTATGTTAATATTTTAGATGATAATAACTAAAAAGCTGAATCTGTACTGTGTTTTAGTCGTTATACTAAACTTCTCATGCCCTTCTGTTGGATAAAACGTGCCTGTGAGGTAGGCACTATTAATCCTAGTTTTCAGAAGAGGAAATTGAGGCTTATATAGGTGAAGTGACTTACCCAGAAATCGTATAGCTAAACTGTGTCAGGGTCTGGATTTGAACCTAGGCCAGTCTAACTCTAGTATCTGAATTCTTAACCATTAAGCTAAATTGATGATTGAATTTAGGGAGTTAACCTGGTAGCCAAGCATTTCACTAAAAATTATGGACTCTAATACCTTAGTTTTCTTTTCGTCAGTAATCAAGTACCCAGTGATAAGTATTTTCCATACATGGCCTGAAGAGGGCACCACTGCAACGCTGCTTCTGTGACAGTTCTGGAGGCCTCTGTTGTGTAGGGCTTCGTATACTAAATGATCTAAAGCTTGGACCTCTCTGCCTAATCTTGGATATATTTTAAAGAGAAAAATGATGCAGTTGAAAAATTGAGATCAATCAACTGCAAATTTTTGGTAAAATTGGGTTGAGCATTAGTATTTATAATTTCAGATAAAATCACAGTATATAAATTAGAAAATCTATGTATATTTTGTCTTGACTAAGAGAAATAGACCTGGGATTGGGTGAATTGAGGTGGAAAATGTGTAAAATGAAAAAAGTTAAGGTATAGTTACAGGAAGAAAAAATAAGAGCTACTAGTTTATTATAGTTTAAGTCACATTTTTGAGACCTTTGCTTCTCTATATTAACTATGAATGTAGAATAAGGAAAAGTATTTCAGTGTTAAAGAAATAATAGATTTTCCAAAATAGATTAAAATAACTAAAACATGTTGTGTGCCTACTGTGTGTGTCAAGTATTGTTCTGTTTGCTTCACACAGTTTAATTCATTGAATCATTATAACAACATGTGAAACAGGTTCTGTTATTATCCACATTTTACAAATGAGGAAACTAAGACTCAGAGAGGTTAAGTAAATTCCTCAAAGTCACACAGGCAGTAAGTGGCAGAGCCAGGATTTGAGCCCAGGCAGTCTGGCTCTAAACTCTAAGCTCTTAGTTTCATTGCTGTTGTCTACCTTCATTATCAAGTTTTTCAAGTTTTCATAAATTAACATATGAAAACACATAATAAAATTGATTTTCCTTTATTCAGGAGAGGTTATGTCATATCTGTGGCTATGCCAGACTAGAACTACAAGAGCTGTAAATTCTCATCTCACATTTGCCACTAACTTGCTGATATCCTCTGAAAATTACTTAATTTCCTTGTCTTAGACATTTTATATTTACTGGTAAGTAAGAACTTGGATATCAGGTGAAAATTTTAAAAAATCCAGATATAAAATATTCTAGAAAAACCTTCTTGCTACAATAAAATTTCATTAAGAGTAAATTGGATCACTAAAGTCATTCCATCAACACAGTTTTTATTAAAATAGAGGTTAGATATTTCCCCTAACTCTTGTTAATTACCCACAGAAATCAATTAAAATGACTTGAATGAAAACATATAAGCATAGTTTATCTTAAAAATGATATAAATTCTCTTTCTTCCAACTGGCAGTTCTGCTAAAATATGTGTAATTGGAATTTTATTTTAGTAAATAGGCAGTGATAAGGGAGACTTATTTCTTAGTAGTGATAAAAGCACCAAAACATTCAGGACAAATGAACACAACACTACTTTAAAGATTAAGGTAGGTATGGAGCATTCTAATGCCAATTGGTAAACTGCAATACAAATCTGACTATGACCACTTGGGGTTAGTGTAGACCCCACAAGTTAAAGGACATAGTCCACAAGACTGCCCCTACTTCGGATGCTGGCTGCTCGTGAGATCGCAGGCTTACCTGCACTTCTGACCAGCCAGCTACAAATCTTTGTGAGGTCCTGGGGGTGAAGGGGGGTGGATAGGGAGTGGGTTCCCATAAACTGCCTCAGGTTTGATAATTCCCTAGAACAACCCACAGAACTCAGGAAATCACTGTATTTATGATCACAGTTTTATTATGAAGGTTACAAATTAGGACCTAAATGAAGAGACAGTGAGGTCTGGAATGGTCCCAGATACAGAGCTTTTGTGCCCTTTTCCTGTGGAATCAGAGCACGTCACCCTCCTAGCACAGTGATGTATTTGTCAGACAGGAAGCTCCCCTGTGCTTTGGTCTCCAATGTTTTGTTTTTGTTCTTTATGTAGGCATGATTGAATCTCAGGCACCCCCCTCTACACACACACACTTCCTCTGCCTGGAGGTCAGGCTGTCTTAAAGCCCAACCATCTAATATCATGGTTGATCTTTCTGCTGACTGGCCCGACCCATCATGAGTCATCTCAGCTCATAGCATAAACTCAGGTGTGATCTGAGAGACTCACAAATGACAAAAGACGCTACTATTAGGAAATTCCAAGGATGTAGTCTCACTCTCAGGAACCAGGGAAAAAGGCCAATCAGATTCTTTATTACACAACGGGAGCATAGGCCTTATTCTGCTTAAATGACTCCCTTGTCCATTTAAAGATTTGCTTATACATTTTAAGGTATCATCCTGTGTTTTAATCATAGAAAACATTTTTCTTTCCTTCTAGGAGTCTGGAGCACCTATTCTCACAGATGATGTTAGTTTACAGGTGTTTATGGATCACTTGAAGAAACTTGCTGTGTCAAGTGCTGCTTGATGTGCTAAACATACTAAGGACACTTAAGAGGATGAAGTAATATTTCAATTTCTTCTTTTTTCCCTTTTTTCAATTAATCTGTGGAAACCAACAGAGAGATCTCTCTATACTCTGTATTAATATGGTTTGAGACAACATATGGAAAAATGTTCATGTTTGTAGATTAAGCTAGACTATAAGAGCAATGAGAACAAATTTTTTTGCTTGCCACAGTATTATAACTGGTTTTAGAAATTTGAGGTCTTTATAACTTAATTATGTTAAAAAGTAAAAAGAGAGTCTGCCTTGTGCTATAGAGACACTTATTTGTATATTGCAGACAAATCCAGAGTGGCACTGAGTGTTCTTGACTTTTTGAAAACTTGTTTCTTAATTTTAATAAGAACGTAAACAAACTCATCAACAGTAAAGATAAATGTGAACATTTTTGCCTATTCATATAATATTTTTCCATAATTTTCAGCACTTATATGTACACTTTTTCTGTACTTATTCTGTTAGGGCAGATTTATTTTTATTATGATTTGTTTAGGAATTATTTGACATAATGTGTGGTAATTTTCATGAAGATAATTTAATGTTTTTGGTCATTTGAAAAAAATAGTTTATAGATGAAAGTTTTTTGGGATAACAATTCCACAACTGGCAACAAATGTAAAAGTCCCACAAAGTACCCAACTTACACGATTAAACATGATAATTTTTTAAAAAGGGAGATAGAAAATAAAGTTTGGTCAGAGTGCATTTTAGAAAGCCTTTGCAGTAAAATGGCTGTTGTAACTTCTAAACCAAATTTGGTATTCACTGCATGGTTTTGTTGTTTCCCCTTATTTTTCTGAGGTAAATTTTATGTTATATCTTTCAGTATTTTAAACTATTTTGGGAGTTTACACGTTACTTTTTGTTTTTGCTTCCATTTTGTGAAATTTATTAAGTTGTAGTTCTTATTGAAACAGTATTATCTAGTATTTTGTTGAAGTGTATCATGTGGTGATGCTCATTCTACTTTGATTTATTCATTAGTATCATTCACTTTTACCTTTTAACGTTTACTTCTAGCAAATGTTTACATTGCTAAAGCCAGATATGTTTGACAATGAAATTTACATCAAGTACTGCAAATAAAAGGTGGTGCTATGATATGTGCTTAGGACAGTTTGATGATTGTACTTGCATGAACACAATCATTTGACAGTAAAATAGAAACTTTAAAAAATGTTTATAAGTTATATTCAATTAGAGTAAATAAATTGCTCTGTTCCGTTTTATTTGAATTGAACTGTGCTAGGCCTAAACACCAATAAAATATACTTTTCCTCTGTTTTCCTGCTTATTTTGAAACCTAGTAAGCCTGAAAAGTCTAATGTAAAATTAGAGCATGTATAAAATCCACTATTAGTGGATTAAAAAGTTGCTCATTTAAAAAAAATAACAGCTTTAGTGAGATTTAATTCACATACCACACAACTCACTCATTTAAAGCATGAATCTCAGTGGTTTTTAGAATATTCACGGAGTTGTGTAACCATGACCACAATCAATTTTAGAACATTTTCATCCCCAAAATAGTTATTTATTTTTGCTATAAGGAAATCATGTTTTGGAGTTAACATGTTTTGAATTGAGGAAAGTCCCTGTGATGATGATGCATGTTTAGTTTGCTGGCCCCTTGTCCTGTGCCCTTTAAGAATGCATCGTTATTTCTTCTATTTTATTTTATTTTACTTTATTTTATTTTTTTATTGAAGTATAGTTAATTACTAAGTGTCAGTTTCTGGTGTTCAGCACAATGTCCCAGACATGCATTGTTATTTCTTCTATTGAGTTTTAAGTTGGCACTTAACCTCTAAACTGCCCTCTACTTCTAAATCAGTTATAGCTGAAGGTGCTAAAGGACCTCTGTATTTAAGGGATAGGGGTGAACAAATACATCATCATGCCCTTTCAGCTTACCATTTGAAAGAAATCACCCTGGATCATTTTTTTTGTGTATAATTTAGCTATTACTAAATTGCTAGCTACTTAAATAGACGTGAAGGAAGAAACGTTTGACCCTTTAATGAACTTAAAGTGGGTAACAAAAATTTGCTAAATCACTAGCAGCACTGAGAAGCTTTGGCGTGTCCAGAACTATTTTGGAATTCATTTTTGAACCTACTTCCTCTCAGCGGCCTTATCCCTAAACACGACTTTAGCCCTCATCTATGTACACTTATATTTGGGTGTAAAAGAATAAATTCATCCTTTTATTGGTTGATTCCAAAAGTGACCTGATATTTTCTCTTTCCAGTTCTCCACTTGATAAACTTCCGTCTCCTATTCCCTAGTCCAGACTGCATCTAATGAATGCGCTTGTTGTCCAGGCTAGACCAGCCACCACTCTTATTCTCCTCAATATCTTTGGTACCAAATGATACCAGTTCTCCCTCTGTAACATCTCCTCATCTGTTTACTGTTCTTCATCCTGCTGCTGTTCTGCCTCATCGTATCCTGCCTGGTGTGGTGAAGTAGCTTCCCAGCCAGTCTGCTTTCTCTCAGTCTCCTTTTCTCCATCTCTCTCTTCAGTTCACTCACCTACAGATATGATTATGTCATTCCAGCTGCCCTCATAATAAAATCCAAACACTTGGATCTGGTAACATTTTATGATACACATGAAATCCATAGCTCTTCCCTAGAAATAGTACAAAGAACGCAATTGAAAAGGTAGTCCTGGAGAGTGGTCTCTGTTTCTACCTCTGCCTTAGTCTTAGGTGTGATACAGTGACAAGAACAAATGCATTTTTTATTGGTTGTTGCAAATTAAATGCTGTGGTTTATCATGCTTGGTTTTATTTTAAATGGATACTTCTTTCTGTTGTTTTTCAGACAACACTGACAAATTAGGATTATTTTCTTTCTAATGCCTACCTTTACATTTTAATTTGCTTTTTCCATGTTTCCAATTTACATGCATATGTTCTTCTTTTACTCTTATGTGCTTGATTTGTATTCATCTTGAGCATTTTATCAAATAATTCTAGAGAGTTTCTGTTTCTTGTTTGCTTTTTGATAGTTACCTTATGAAATTAATAGTTTCCTTTCTTATGTTCATTCTTCCTTCTTTGTTTAATACATTGAAACAAAAGCTGGCTTAAATTTAGTATATCATCTGGCGAATATAATAATAGATATGCAATACCAAGTGTGGAATAGTGAAGTTACATTACTAAATCAGATATTTTTCCTGCCTCATCCCTATCTATGGCTTATACTGAATTATAAAGCCCAATTATGTTGAGGATGTGATACCAAGGAATTGTGGATTTTTTCCCCTACGGGAACATAGAAAAAAAAATGCATATAGTAATATGTAGAGCATTTGGAAGGTGCATAAAAATACTAACTTTTGGCTTTGTTAGATCAGCATAAAATTAGCTATGTATTTTTAAATGTTAAGGGTAACAAGGACAAAACCAAGATACATACCTTTTAAACCAGAATGTGTAACTTCTAAACCACTGGAGAAAAAAAGCAATAAACTAATTTGACCACCTGAAGAGAAGGCAGCAAAGGGAAAGCATGGTAAGAAACACAAAGAGGAAAAGATAATGGATTAATACTTTTTAGTGTATTTTATGAAAATTGAAAAATATATATTGGTCTTTCACTGTAATAAACAATAACATTACAAGCACTATTTTTGAACCTTCTGCAAATGTGTTCTAAGACTTTATAAAAATTGGTCTTTTCATATATCCATGCTCTACAGAGTTTAGCCAGACTGGTTATTCTTTATTCATAGTTGATTGAAAAGCATTTTTTATTAATTTCAAAAGTTATTTTTTTCATTTCAAGCAACAGATACACAGATAGGAAAACTTTGAAGATAAATTTGATAAGAATCATAAAAATCCCAATTTCACAGTAAATTCCTAAATTCTTAAAACTGCTTCTTTAGGAGAACTTTCAAAAAGTTCTCTTGGTCTAAAAGATTCCATTAAAACATATAAACCAGAAAATTCAAGATAAATTCCTATTACATTTGATAAAATCCTCCAAAGCTTTCCTTCTTTTGCAAAGATGAGAGTAAATGGCTGAATGCTGTTGAACACTGACATTATTTGATCCATTGATTTAGATCAAAGGTCCATTTATGGTGAGAATGATGAAGGCATTTGAACATTGCTCTTTTAATTTCTTCTTGACATTTAAGACCAACATCTTTTTGCTGCTTTCCTGACATTCTTTGAATGTGACTCTTCAATGTAAATGCCTATTTTCTTACATTCTGTTATTACATAGTTAATAGTCTTCTCTACAATTGCTGTGTGCTAATCTTTAAAGAACAATTTTAAAGCTTAGTATTTTACTGTACATTGTTCAAGGCTGTTTATACTGTGACTATTTTGATTTCTGATTAACCTCATCTAAAACTTAACACCAAGAAAAAAATTTTTTCATTGTGCCGTTTATGCAACAATTTATTTTCTTGGTTAGTCCTTTAGTTTTAAAACAAAACAGTCTAAAAAGATAATTTTAATTGTAAAGATAATCAAATTCAGTAAAAGTTTCTGTATATATGCTAAAATTTACACTTACAAAAAAATTGCACTTCAAAGTTCACACTCTGTTTCAGTTTTAAAATTTAATCACAAACAAAAACTCCCAAGTGGTCATATAGATTGAGAGAATTGTTTCTTCATCTATGTAATTACTGTGCTGGTGGTGTTTATCTGAACCTACTGTTTAAACACCAGGATATTTAGAACTATGGGAACCGAAGACACAAAATCTCCCCAAGAGAGCTGAAATTATTTTTAAAATGTTATAAATGTAACCTTCCAAATTCAAGGGTGTCTATGTTGGGACTGGGCTGTATAACTGGGAGTTCTCTGAATTAATTTCCATGTAGAACACAATGTTTATTAAAGGATAAGTAGTAACAATATACTAATCAGAAGGTTACACACGTATTATTAAAACTCAGCAGTAGCCATAACAATTACATAAATTTTTGACCAATAAAAATTTTTTCAGGTTGGAATGTTTTATCATTGGCATTATTTGAAATTGCTGGCATAGGGTGATAAAACTCAATCCTACTGCTCTATCCTAGTTACACCACTGGGCTTGGAAACTAAACAAACAGGCTTATTGACTCATGAATTAAATAAATTTCAATGAAAATTATGAAGCATTTAGAACTGCACAATAAAAATATTATCTATCAAAATTTGTGGTATGGGAAAAAGGATCATTAGGGGGATATATGTTGTTCCTAATGCAACTAGAGAAAAAGGATTAAAAATAAGTGAACTTTGTATTCAACTCAAGAAAATGAAAAGGAATAACAAATAAATCTAAAGAAAGAAGGGAAATAATAATGGTAAAATTAGAATTTTAATGAGATACAAAACAGAACAAAACAAAATCAATGAAGATGTTCAATAAAACCAAGAAGACAATAGCATAAAAGTCTTAAACCAATTTCTGAAGATAAGGAAGATCAGCTCATCTTCTGAATAGTAAAATACATTTTCGTAAATGGAAATCTTAAATAATTGTTCGAAATTTTTTGTCTAGACCAGTTAAGAAGTATAATTGTTTAGTTGTTCAAAGACCAAGACATCTAAAAATCTCTCTAATGAATTTCAGGGAAAACTTGATGTTACAATTATATACTTACCACTCATGAATGTAGAAATACAAAGTTGAGAACTTGTGGAATTTGGGAGTCAAAAGTGTACATTGAGGTCATTAAGTCCTATCTCCTTATCCAATTCAAGAATTCCCTCACAATATTCCTGATGATTGGTCATCTTCCAGTGACAAGTGAGACAAGACGGATGTAAATTGCTGAACGCTACAGGGGACCTACACTTTCAGAGAAAAGATAATGTTAGTAAATTGGGAAGGATTAATATGTACATACCAAAATAAGCCTTGACCAGAATTTAATGGAGAATATTCAAATCTGTTTTACACAACACATTCTGAGGACATAACCATTGATCTGCAAAGCCACTGGCACTCTCTGATACTGTCATTAAAAGAGAGACTGGGGCAGCCCATAATGCAGGAGGTGTCGTGCCAATATAGAAATAAGCTTTCCAAGCAGGACATCATTCATCCACTTCCCAACAGAGCTCTCTGTGTTTCCCAACTGCAATAACCAGAGTACATATTTAGGCAGAGAAAAGGGCACTGCAAAGCCTGGTGGTGGGAATCTGTTTCCTATGGAAAATGTGGCCTGATCTGCTGGGGAAAATTTTGTTTTCTGATCTGTGTCAAGATCTTGCTCAGCTGCCTTGACAGGGTGAAGCAGCCACAGAATGATCCTA